ATAACATTAGGAACTAGTAGATCATCACAAAATTCAGATGTGATTAATACAAATGAGATTCACGTCAACAAACCCTCATATTATTGGGTTCACTATATTCTGGTCTTTATATTCATCATCGCATTGATTATTATCTCAATTATAGTGTACTCGACATTTAGCGGTGGATATTGAAAAGAGTTGAAACTTATGATTAGAGATAAACAAAGGCCTAAATCCACTAAAACTGGGAAAACAAATGAAGACAAAAAGAAGAAGAAAGAGAATTCAAATCCCGAACTAAAGGAAACCTTTTCCATCAAATTTGATGACAACGATGTGGAGGGACAGGTAGATAATAGTGAGGATCGGAATTCGGCTGAATCCCAGAGATCTGGTAGCGGCACAGATGTGACACAACTACCAAGTAATGAACCACAGGAGCCATAACCTGAAGATCTGAAACCAAAAGATCCGAAATCCAAAGGAAATTATTTTCAATTATTTTTTTGAATTCATTCTCTCATTAAAACTTTATTCGAGATTTCAAACATTTGTACAAAAGATTATTGTCATAAAGCAAAATAAAATATGTTATCAAATTGTACACAAAAACTAGTCGTCTTTAATGAGATAGACTTTGGGGTCTTCTTTGCCGTAAGAATCGGCAAATATTTCCACATTAGATGAGCCGTCGTTTTCGTTGATATTGGCTTCAATGAGACTGTCGTCGTTACGATCGGTATATACTGTCGCATACTCTCTGTTATCCGGTTTCCTGACGAAAGTGTTTCGCGAACCCATTTCTGACCCCTTTTTCGCGCGAATATTGTTAACCAAAGCAATCAATTCTCCTAACCTTTTGCGGGACATCGCCATTTGGTGTTTAGTTTCAACTCATTTTATACATATATATAATTATATAATTATCTAGGTAATTAAAAAATAGATTTTAAAATTTTCGAGATTTTGTATTTCGAGATTTCGTTTTTTGAGATTTTGTGTGTATACGATTTCTGAAAACGTGATGTTTTAGTAAAAATTCTATATAAGAAAAATGCATGACTTTTGTTAATTTTAAAGCTTATTACTAATTATGACTGATTCTTATAGCGATTCCATTGATATGTCATTTTAATAAAAATTCTGCTTATTTTGGCTTATTTTTGATAAATTTCGCTAAAATGTAAAATTGCGTAATATTACGCGTAATTTTACACCAAAATTAAATTACGCGTAATTTTGCATGGTTACTTATTACTGATACCACTTTGGATTTTATTTACCAAAACTATAATTTTTGTATATTTTTTAATGAAAACCCAAAACTAAACTTTTTAACGCTATGCGATTGTGAACAATAAAATTATGGGCAAAAGACAATTCACCTAAATTTTAAAATTATCAAAAATTGACATAATATGATAAATCCAAACTAAAATTAGCACATATATACATTTTTAAATAATCTAGTTATGTAAAAATTATAATTGGGATATAAACTTACATGAGTTATATATACTTACATGATACATATTATGCGTTCCTTAATAAAATATGGCAATGATTATATTTAAAAATCAAATTATTTTTATACAAGGATAATGTACAATGATGTGACACAGTTATTTATTTTAGAATAAATTTTACAAATTTTGGAATAATGAGTTGAAAGTGCAAAGAGACAATAAGTAGAAAGATGAAAATATTAAATAATATTAAGCAAAAAATGAAGAGTTTTTAATTGGGTCAATATTTAATAGGTGAATTGAAAGAGTTTATAATTAATTTCATTTTTAATATATCAGTGATTATTGTAATATGTAAAAATCTTATGGCTGTAAATTTAATAAAAAAAATAAAAGTAAAATTATACTATTGTATATTTATATATATATATTTATCAATTATATAACCATAAGATTTTTAGATAATATTTATATGTTTATTTATAATATTTTTAAGTTTTATATTTTATAAATGTTTTATATTTCAATATTCTTATGGCCTTTTTTCCTCTAAACAAAACATAAATACATTTAAATAAATTTAAAGCATGTACATTTGAATGTAATTGAAATGGGATTTGAATGGGTTTTTTTTGGGAATGGGATCCCTTTTACGGGAGCTCTCAAAATAGAGTGACGACTACTATACTAATAGAGTGCGACTGAAGATCTTTCATACGCGTGAGAGTGTGGTTGGCGTTAGAATGAGAGCGGAATGGGAGCCAAACGCGCTGTACATATGCCGTGCGATATCACACGTTGTAATTCACAACTGCAGTGAAGTTAGGACTCATATAATGAGACAATCGGTCACTTCTTCACTCAATATTATCTCTTAAAGAAATTCTCGCAAAATGTTTAGTTTTTTTCAAACCGTTGTGACGTTTACTGTTAAGTAAAGAAGGCTTTTATGGAAAACATCTCTCATTTCTCTATAGAATTGTCTTTTAATGAATAGAAAAGCTTTCAATAAAATATGAAATTGAATTGAATTGAAGAATATTAGAGAAATGAAAGGATGGCTACAAACGAACACTTGATTAGAGACAAAGACTAATGTGTGCAACAAATGTGGTCAATGTTTGGGTGACTTTCAGAAAGTGTGTGTTTTTGTGGCCCAATCTGTGGCACAAACAGCGCTTGAAATACAAAACCAAAAGCGAATGAGAGCTCCAATGGCTTTGCCTTTGTTTGTCATAAGATGTGCTCATTCTCTCGCATTTGAATATTACATGAAATGACTTTCGGCTAAACGTCTAATCACTTGTACGTTGAGCACAGAGGGGAGAGAGAGAGAGAGAGAGAGAGAGAGAGACGGCAGAGTAGAGTGTAATGCATTTGGCGTTCATTTATCGATTGGGAACACTTGCCATAAGAAGCTCTTGTTTTCATTTAAACCTATAATAAGGACTGTTATAAACAAATGCCTTCCCTTTGAGCACTATTTCAAGGAAATGTGACAAATGGACAAAACAAGCATCGGTTGGCCGATCGGCAGTCGAGATATATCCGAGTGATTTGTGTCCGCATATGACAAGTGTTGAGTCGTTTCGGTGGAGTTGAGGGTTCGGTGAATGGCTGGACTGACTGTGATTTTGTGGGCGATTAAGTGGACGGAGACTGCGATGGGGTTTGGCGTGAAGACGGAGGGACAGGAATGCGGTGACAGAGAAGTAATGGTCAGAAAACTGTTAGTGTATTAGTATTAGCAGTGAATAGAGGGTCAGAAGTGGCGCATATATGCAGCATATATACAGACAATATACTGTATACTGGTTTTGAGTGTGTTTTACGATCCCATCAGAGTTGGAGAGACGTGCGAAAGGCAGACATCCCTCAGAATTGGTTCGTTCCCGACAACCGATATCTCTTATGGCAATCAATGGGTGAATGTATGCGAGACGTCGAGAGCGCAAACTCTGAGCACAACTGCTTTGAGAGCATAACTGCAAGTCGTTTGAGTCGTCAGTCGTTCGGAACCGTCGTTCGCAACACTCGGCGCTCGTCGTCTCTCTCGATGCGCTCTCCTCTACGCTCTCTACCGGTGCCCTCACGTCCACCGCCGCCGATCGCCGCCGACCCGACAGACACGTGATGGCCGTCGCCGACTGAGAGGTGAGTGCGCTGTGCGTTGCGTTGAGTGGAGGGAAGGCCTCGTGAGGTCCGGAGCAGAGTTGGCTCTAATGATAAGTTTGACTCCAAAAGCCAGTCTAGCATTGAGGCTGTGATGTGTCGGTCCCCCCAGCGCTTGATTATAAGCTATGTTTTGCCGAAACCTCTCCTATAGTCTGAGTTATGTTTGGTTTGGTCTCACTTTCATTATGAGGCGTCTTCGCCTCAATTCGTGACCGAATGCTTGCCTTCAGGTTCTGCTGCCATAAATAGAGTCGAGTTTTTGTCTTCACCGACACTACAAATAGTTTGTAAAAACTTTACACTAATTATAACCTGAAATCAGATTTCGTATGAATTGAGGGAATGTCACGCTTCCTGACCATCATTACAGTCAGTGTTGACATCACAGCCTAATGTGTTGCAGAACTCCATAAGCGATGGTCGCAGATATGACTCGCATTTAAAGCACTTCCTTCAGTATTATGGCATAACTTATAGCCAGAGGTGGCCAGAGGTGGTCACATTGCGCTCATTTGCTGCCAACCCTATTAGTCCAGCTCTGCTTCCCATTGCGGGTCACTGTCTCCACGAGAGCCCAAACTCAAAGAGACGCTGTTTTACCGTAATTGCGGACACACTGTCTGTATTGCAGTTTAGGATACATTGAAATGTGTTTGAGTTTTGGTTCTTTGAGTCTTTGTGTAGTGTTGTGTGCAATACAAGTGTGTCTGCATTTTATCGATTCCTCACAATCGGCACTACTGTATACGAGAGCACAAACACGCTATGCTTTGCTCTGCACTACAGCCCAGCTATGCTTTCACACACTCTCTGCCATACAAAGAGTCTCACAAAAAGAGGTGAAAGCGTCGAAACCGACCCTATATTCGCAGACTCGCAACCATAGCGTCGACAACAGTGACGAAGCAACTCATGAACAACTTCTTTGTGATCTCTCTCTCTCTCTCTCTCTCTCTCCCACTCTCCCACCATTCTCCGACTCTCCGATCTATTATCACACTCTCATCCCAATCAGCACAACAGCACAAAACCCTATTCTTGTGAAATGGCATCGACTTCTTTGACCACAAATTGTCTTAATGTCTTTAACAATGTATTGAAAGCCTTTTTAATTACTGCCAGAGTTATGAATAATTTGTAAATTATTTCGTTCTCTCCACATATAAGTGGAAAGGCATGCGATAACAGGTATAAAGTGGTCATTGAGTGGCAGTCTTGAGGAGTAGTTGGCGTAGAGTTAAGCCAAACAATGATAAGAGAGATAAGGAAAGGAAAGCGTTTCATGAATTGCACTGAAATTCTCAGTTTATTTGCGACTAAAATAGTTCTCTCAAAACGATTTGAAATTTATCTCAAAAACTCTTAAGCAGTGATTGAATGAAACATTTCTTTTCCAACAGAAGTGAAAGCTTTAATTTGGTGACCATTACTCTGAGCGCCAGTGCCTGCGGGCTCTTAGTTAGACCGCACCCTAACAGCCTTCCCATGTATTATCCGAGTCTCTTTGCCGGTGTCCGCCCTTTCGAGGGGCTCAGGGATAGAGTCGACAATCCACTGGATTTATCAGTCAAACAGACCGTCAGACCCGACGCTCCCGAACACCAGAACTTACAGCTTATGATTGAACGCAAGTTAGGCATCGGTTCGCTCCCATCCCGACAAATGCCACAACAGATGCCTCTTCTGGACACTATGTATGCGTATAAACCCTTCATGTCCGACCCGCCCGCCTGTGCTTTGGGAGGCGCCGCTCTTATGAGCCCCTCTCTCGCCAGTCCCTACTGTACATCCGCACCATCGGCTTCGGGAATCAGTCATTTAGGACTCATTCCGGATCTGATGCACCAAAACAGAGAGACGTTGGCACTCGAGGCCTCGTCGATGACACCTTTCCCGTTGGATGTGTCTGCTCTTCCGTATCACATGCGTATCGGCAGTGCAACCGCCGCAGCCATAGCTATCAACAGCGCCAACCAAAGGGCGTACTTCGGCCACAACTCCATGGGACCCGTTCTGCCGCCACATATGGGCGCGTCGTTCGGCCCCTCAATCTCTCATTACTCGCTCTACTCTGATCTCCTCAATGATATGAATCGCCGACCCATCGAACCCGAAAAGAGTGTCTTCAGTCCATTGGCGTCAATGCGAGCGCCGGCGGAGCCAACCACTCGCTTCTCAGAGCACTTGCAACGACTTCGCGACCATAACCTCCACCACAGCAAGTGTTCGGCGCCCTGTTGTCAGCCCGCATCCGCTCACCCGACAAATGGATGCAACTGTTGTAATATCGGACTCTCAATCAATAACAACATGACATCAATGGTTGTGTCGCAGATATCTCCTCTTTCTGTGCCGTCTAAAGAAGTGTTCACTCATTCGGCAAACAGTGAAAGTTCTTGCGGACAATCTGTGAATATCTTTGACAGCAAACCCGATAAAACATCTCAAGTGAAATGTGTTTCTCGTGTGGAGCCCAACACTAACATATGGGAGCCGTCGGTGGTTGTTGTCCAGCAAACAGCGTATCACAAAGAAAACAAAGAACACGCGTCGGAGGAGATCCACAAGACGTGCCATAAATACAAACCTCCGCCAATGATATCACATGATGTGATCACCATTGATGAGGATTGCAATGATATCGAGATCACAGACGTGAAGCTTAAGTCAAACAAAAGCCAAAACTCAATTGAATCGATTGGTTGTTCAGAAGAAAATAGAGATTCTTTGAGTGCGGAAACGAGTTGTGGTCAGAAGGAGAACACTCCGAGAGTGGAGTCCAGTGACCATCGGATCGACAATAGTGTTAAGTGTAATGAAAGTGAACGAAGTGTGGGAACAGTATGTCAGCTCAAAAGTATGTCAGCCCAAGTGAGGTCTGACTCAACACAAGAGACGGCTCATCACAAGCAAAGCCATAATCATATGAATAGAGAGACACAAAAGTCGAATGAAGACATTGGCGTCAAAAGTAATGCAATAAAACAGCTGAAAGACTACAAACATCTGAACAAAAATCAAAACATGAATGCAATCGATAAAAGACATCCAAAAGAGACGAAAACAGTGGAGGTTCAGTGCAATGGACCCGATTGGACACCTATTGTACTGCCGATACAACTGAAGACAAAATTACAAAAAACAGTTCGGCTTTCGTTGAGTGATTCCAAGAGCACTACTAAGCGGTCGATAACTCATAAAAAAGAGACTAAAAAGAGTAAACAGAAGCACATCCACAGCTATCATAGAAACCATAACAGATCGCGATCTTCGTCCTCATCCACTGCTTCCAGTAGAAGGTCTTCACCCGAAAACTCACAACACTTTGACGACAATAGTTCCAAATCGAAGAAGAAATCAATGCTTCAGTGTTTAGTCAATTCCGACGGATATGTTGGCGACAAAATCAAGGCCAACGCTCCCCAACACAACCTCATTGTATCGGATCCGTCGCAACTCGGAAGAGAAGAACGCGCTCTTCAGGTAAGCAATCGTTTAGAACAATATTTTTCTGACAAAATTGAGCTAAATTTAGCGATAAATCGGTGTCTGTTGTCCTCTGCAGTCAAAGACTTTGTGTTTAGTTTGTGTTTTCTTTGACTTGTCGTCAAAAGAGTCGGCCATCGCTTTAACGCACTCTTATCAGCGCTTTTGCATTAAAACACCGATTCAACCAACAAATGCATTCATCTCTCTCTCTCTCTCTCTCTCTCTCTCTCTCTCTCTACGGCAATGCAAACTCTAATGAGAGCCAAAGAAGAGAGAGAGAGAGAGAGAACTAAGCGCTCAGTTGTGAAGAGTCGGCAGTAAATGTGGAAATTCTACATTTGCTTTCATTTCGTATACAAACTCTCGAAACACTATTTGCTGGAAATGCAATCCAACCACAATTTTAGACAATGAATGTTTGGTTTAATGATTACAACTCGTAGTTTAACTTTGCATAAGAAACGGATATCACATGAAAAGTGTTTAAAAGAGTGGTGTGAATACAAGTGAACAGAATGTGATAAGTAGTGAATATTAATAGAAGTATTGAATAGTTGTTGCGAAACCTAACAAAGATGTTGTCGAGCGATAGAGAGTCGACGAGAGAGCAGTGGTCTGTCTGTGAGTCGATATTTGCAAACGAGTGAGTCTTTGCTCTGCAATCATAGGAAACACACAGAACTGAACCAAAGTTAAGGCTTTAGAAGGGAATGAAAGGCATTACTTGATGTACGAAATAAGTCTCACATTTTAACTCATAATTAATTGTAAATTTGGCCCAAATTTGAATCACTATTGAATAGTTTGCGAACGAAAAATACACTTAATTTTAGACAAAGATTACTTTAGATTAAATTTTTGGTCAACAATTTACTTCAACAGAACTAAATGTGTGTTACTTTCAGATCTATAATCAGTCCGTTTGTAACGTTAGCTAAAAATAGTGTGTATTTCAGTCACTATTCGCTTCAAAGTCTGTATACGACTACGGATTGCATATCAAGTCTAGCAATACATGCAGTTGTGTACAATCAATACAAACTCTATACTGTATTACTTGAATCCGTTATTTAACGCAGCGTTTTATTTATAATAACTTTTTATAAACATTTTTTTATGAATCGATTTGCAAAATGTTGATACTGTACTGTGTTACGGGTGAATGGGGGTTCCGGTAGACCCTCCATAAGGGGGTTCCATTGGAACCATAGTTTATAAGTTATAAATTATAACAATAGTGTGATTCTCGCAGTCAGTATTCATAGCGTATAAGTTATATAGAAATTGTGTATTAATAGCGTTTATGTGTATATATATAGCGCGCTATCAAACACTTCGAAGAACTCCACAAACCAGAGAAGAGTTCAATAGAGAGCTCACAGGTATGGCACCAGAGGTTGACTTTCGTTTGCATTAATCCTGTGCTTCGCAAACAGATCTCATCGCAAGACAACGGAAGTAATAATTCTGAGACAAACTCTGAGTTCGGTAAGTGTTTAATGAAGGCATCGATCGACGAGTTGTGTCTAAAACTCATTGTTTTATCAGAAAATGATATCAAAAAGTATCAGAAGATTATCGAATCAGTGGTTAATGAGAGTCGTTTCAAAGTGCAATCCTCGGGTAAATATGGCCACAAAAGTGGTGACAAAATGTGACAAATGTTTGTTCCGCAGACTCTCCGAAGAAGTGTTCGAAGGAAAGGCCAGAGAATGAAGACTCGGATGAATCGATGGATTCGTTAAGTAAAGCGAAGAACAAAGTGAAGTCAAACTCAAAGAAAAGATTAATCGAAAGCTTTGAGACAAAGGGAGGAATGACTGTGAAGTTCAGCGAAAAGAAAGTCAAACCAAACGACGAGAAAAGCGATGAGAAGAAGATGACTGAACACAGCATTGAATGCAAACAAAAAAAGGTTTAATATAACGAGAAATATTTGATATGAAAACTTGAACTCTAATTGACGGCACTGTTAGGCGATAACGAGTGTTCGTCGGCGACGCTTCCGCTCGGGTCTCGATATGATTCGACACCCGAACCGACGCAAGAAAACGCATCCGTCGGCCATTCGTGGCGGCAAAGGCTCGCACTTCGGCGATCATGTTCACCACAAATCGGTATAAGAGTTGATCAGAGAGTGAATGAGTGATCAGAGAGTGAATGAGTCAGTGCTGGGAAGCGTTCAGCTGTTGTGCCGCTCCAGCGCTCAATCCATGCTTTGTCTGTTTGGCTCTAAAACTACTTTCGAAACGCGTTTGAGAGCTGCGAATAAATTTGATTTTCAGTCATAGCCTAACGTTAATCACAGATATGCAGGTCTTCCCACTCCAAAGCACTCTAAGGGGATGTTAGCTCAGGCAGTGAGAGTAGTGCAGTGTATGAGCGCACAGTTGGAATGCCATCCGAGTCCTCATTTGATCTGATTTGTGTGAAATGGAGAGAGAGAGACGATAATTGAGGCAAAAATGCTTAACACAACTCATTTGACAGAACTCGGAGTCGGCGGCCAATGGGTCCTCAGAAGGCAAGCGCCTGATGGTGAACAAGGCTTTGGGAGAGACTCTACTCCATAGGGCCGCCCGCAGTAACCGAATCGTGAGTACATTAACGGCAAACACACAGACAGACAGTGTATTAACGCATAGATACGACTCTATTGTCCGAAGGATGTCGTCAACTGTTGTCTGCAGTCAAACACATGTGATGTGAACGCAAAGGATAACGCAAACTATACGCCACTCCACGAGTGCTCCACTCGAGGCAACCTCGAGATCGCAGCCCTTCTGCTGCAGAGCGGTGCTCACGTGGATAGCAGTGCCACCGGAGGCATCAGACCTCTTCACGACGCCATTGAGAACAACCACATCGAAGTGGTGCGACTTCTCCTCTCATACGGAGCCGATCCTTACATAAGCGTAAGCATAATAGTGTTGTTTGTGGTGTCGGTGCTCTCATTGCTGTCAATATCTGCGTTCAGACGTATTCCGGTGCGACTCCACTGCAGTTGGCGCGCTCTAAACACATGACGGCATTCCTCACAGGTATTCATTGCACTCGTCATGAGGACTAAGACTTAAGACTTGTTTGCATTCAAGGCTTTCTCGGCGACATATCAGGAGATAAACAAAAGTCGAGTCAACCATTGCTGTGGAAGTTCTCAGAATCAGCACATATTTCAGGTGAGAGACAAGTGGAAGCAGTGTCACAGCGGCGGTCATCACTCAATCGTGACCTCTCTTTGCAGACCCAAAACAAATTGGATTCAATGTATTCGATGGCCTGCCGTCTGACGAGGAGGAGTCACATGACTTCGTGTTTGAGGAAAGCGACAGTCCTTTGGATCCGAGCTATCGATTGCGTAATTCCAAAGAGTGAGTGCTTTTGCTTTCAACTAATTTTATTGCAAATCTCCACGAAGTGTGCCATCAATTGAATGAATAGTCTTTAAGTTTAAAATCCAAACGACTATTTGATGGATAGATAATGACAGGAAATGCCATCTCATTAATGGCCGCTATTTCTAATCATTTGAGACAAACTAACGATGGAAAGAAACTATGCATTAATGCAATCAAATACCACTTCTCTCTCTCTCTCTCTCTCTCTCTCTCTCGACGCGTAAATGTGATAAAATGTCTGAATTTACAGATCAAATCATTTCATGCGTTTGTCTGGTGTGCTCAAGAGGACGGCCATAACGAGGGATGAGTGGCTCAAAAGGCATCCAAACATTGAGATCGTGTCGATTGGCAGACATGAACTGCAAAGGTCTACAATCGGACAGTCGGTGTGCGACTGGGAGGCCGACGATTCCAGCGCTGAAGAGATGCTTGTTGTGGACGACAGCGTCAGAAGTATTTTAGGAATAGAGTCCTTAAGATTGTGTTAAAAGTTACTGTTTTGTGATCTCAAGTCTCATTTGTATCATATATTGTGCCAAAGATTGTGTTAAATTTGCATTTGTTTTCATAACTCATTTGAATATTAATATATATTTTATGAATAAAGCGATGATTGATAAGACATTTGTTTATTGATTGCAAGCGTTGGCCACAAGAAGTAAAACAAAATTGTCTTTTCAAGAGATTAGCGTTCAATTAGTGATAGTCTGCTCTCAAAACACATTCACTGCAGTCTATGATTGCAAACACATAACATGAGATGCATTACGTTATTAGAGCGCCGGTGTGTTAGCTTTGGTCACTGTATCTGAGGGTCATTGGGAAGGCATCACAAATTCACGGCCTTTGGGAGCTCTCCATCTCTTTGAGAGCAAATACAGTCTATGATAAACACTACTGTTTATGCTATAGAGCCAACTGTGAGCCCCAGAGCTGTGCACAAACACCAGTGAATGCACAACAATGTGTACGAAATGCAAAACTCGGGGACTCTGAGGCACGTCATCCTCGGTCTTAATCAGTGGGGGAGTTGTGTCACTATCTGTAAGCCATACATACAGTACAAGGATCTCAAGTTAGACTCTAAACTCATGTAATACTTCACAATTAAATCCATTTCTAACTAACAATTTATATGTGCATTTTAAACATTACTCCATTCACTAAACATTCATTTCTCATCGTGCAACTTATGCTCACAACTCTACCTCACCCTCACTGTACTCAACAAACTATGTATTAATTAATAACTCATTTGAAAACAAAATGACAATCAATTCACTGTACATTAGATACAGTATCAGAATATTGTACACTAAGATATACTGTTTAGAATAAACGCTAAAACATAGGAAAACATATTTCGCGAAATATTTGCAACCCTGATAACAAATGAACACAACTGTATGGTATGGTATGGTTTGGTGCGAGTTCTTTGTTAGCTGTCTGTCCCCTCTTTGCAGTCCCCCTGACTGTGAGCTGAGTTGAGTTAAGCTTCTCTTTGTTGGCCTAACTCTACTCGACTCGACTGTACAGTAGTTGAGAGGAATTTAGACGAGAATATGAGCTCTGGTTAGAGTGAGGCATACATACAGACATACATCCATACATACATCTATCCATAGATCCACTCTCACTGCTATACCACAGCATGTATTGAAGAAACACTATATCGCCAGCAAATAATGTGTAAAACGAATAAATGGTTTAAAAATTTTGAGATTTATTTCAATCAAAGATATATTAAATAAATTAATGAGAAATTGAGAGAAAAGAAAACAATTGATTATTTTATTGTCAATAAATACACAAAATAATAGAAACACTCGAATGGCATTCAATTAATACAAAGAGTTAGTCGTTGTATAAAAGGCTGCACTCATTCACAATACAGTGTAATGTAATGGAAAAGAAATGTATAATAATTGACAACAAATGGTGTGAAATGTGTTTTAAAGCAGAGACCTCTCGAAAGAGTCGATTATTGGATACAATAATGCGTTCACAGGTTTGCGACTAGAGATGGGATGTAGTGGTCGGTCGAGCCCTCACTTACAGTATATTATCGACTGAGAGAATGGTTCAAAACAATGCCATATATGATGTCCTTAAGTAATCTCAGTTATCACATATACAATGAGCACTTGTTTTATACTATAATTAGGGTTTCATTACTATTAGTCTATTACTATAAGTTGTGGTCAAACCACTGAACATAAGTCATTGATCGACAGTTTCATAAAAATACAAATTTTGCTCAACAGAAGAATTAAGTGATAGTTTGGCTATAAATCGCTATTACAAAGTCATCACATCATAGATTTGGTTCATAGTTGGGTGTAGTGTTGACTCTAATGCTGGCACTGATGGTTATTGCATACCAGTGCTACATTGCAGTCATCGCCACTTTAAGCAATCAAGAATTGTTATCCAATTGAATATAAGGCACACTAATTAGCATTCAATTTAAAGTTTACCTAAATTACAGCCAATTAATGGCCAAACATTGTACAGAATATGTGTTTCTAAACACACATCACAAACATCTTTCAATCTAAAAGTGAAAATGTATTCAACAACTGCTCAAAAGCTCAGTAGAAATCAATAGATTTGTACAAAAATATCGGATATTAATATGAGAATAAGAATTATTATATGATTGAGAGATACAATGACAGTAATTATGAAGATATTTGTGATGGCGTTATCGACAAAATGTATTTTACATACAATAGAGAAGTATCCAAACACGAGAATTCAATCAAAGGTGGTGCCGGTGCCTGGCTTACGACACCATAGCATATACCGCACAACCATTGCCTTCCATTGCATTCATTGTGTGCTTTGGATACGAGTTTAGAGCAATAAAAGGGCAATAAATAGTCATATAATGAGTTGTATTCAGACTCTACAGCATATTCTCATACAATTACCCCAAAAGGAAAGGTCTCTGCAATCAATTGACGGCAAAACAAATATGGTTTCACTTTCGCTCTCAATTCAGAGTCCAGTTATTGGTATCGACACTGAACTGACTCTAAGTATAGTAATGTTTGGTACATTGGGTGCAGCCATACCTTATACTCTATTACAGGTGTCGAGTCAACACAGAGAATGCCATACTTTCCACATAATAACAAACGTTAGTGTTTTTAAGACAAAAGTAATTATTGAATAAAAAAGCAAAACATCTCGTATTGTACTCTAAGATTGTGTCGAGTGGTGTAGAGCTGCACATAAGAGATAGGGACAGCGAATGAGTTGTTTTGCTTTTCGGGTACATGTCATCCCTTTCCTGATAGTCATACAGTACAGGCATAAGGAATTCATTATCATATTAAAGGGATGACAGTATTCATGTCTAATCTAAAGAGTTTATGAAATTATAATTTAAAATATTGATTAATATAAATATGAGCCCAATATTGTCAGCCATCAAATCAATTCATTATCAATGAATGTGTAATCAAATGGTGTTATGAATGGTGGGTCAGAGCCAACAAGTGACAATTGACGGCAAAACAAATATGGTTTCACTTTCGCTCTCAATTCAGAGTCCAGTTATTGGTATCGACACTGAACTGACTCTAAGTATAGTAATGTTTGGTACATTGGGTGCAGCCATACCTTATACACTATTACAGGTGTCGAGTCAACACAGAGAATGCCATACTTTCCACATAATAACAAACGTTAGTGTTTTTAAGACAAAAGTAATTATTGAATAAAAAAGCAAAACATCTCGTATTGTACTCGAAGATTGTGTCGAGTGGTGTAGAGCTGCACATAAGAGATAGGGACAGCGAATGAGTTGTTTTGCTTTTCGGGTACATGTCATCCCTTTCTGATAGTCACATACAGTACAGGCATAAGGAATTCATTATCATATTAAAGGGATGACAGTATTAATGTCTAATCTAAGAGTTTACGAAATTATAATTTAAAATATTGATTAATATAAATATGAGCCCAATATTGTCAGCCATCAAATCAATTCATTATCAATGAATGTGTAATCAAATGGTGTTATGAATGGTGGGTCAGAGCCAACAAGTGATCATTTGTCCGCAAATTCGTTATTCACCATAAATGTGGACAATATTGTAGACAACAAATAATAACTTAATTCTAATGACTGACACTTTTAAATACTAATTGTTTAATAATAATTGAGTTAAAATCTAATCGATATTTAGAGGAATTATATAAAACATTAAAATAACAGTCATTTATGTTTTGCTTATTCATAGAATTGAAAATAAAATTTTAATTCAAATTGAGATTCAATTATGGAATGAATCGATACTTTCATAGCACTGGATGTGACCTCAACTCCACTCTACGGTAGTTATAAGAATTACAAACAAAACATATGACTGTTTCCCAAATAAATATTATAGGCTTTCCATCAGTTGCCCCACCAGTCGGGACCTGAAGCGCCCGAACTGTAGTTTCCGCCGTAAGAGCCGTTGCGAACGGGAACCATATAGTTAGGCATACCTGTGTTGCCATAGCTCTGGAAACGCGAGTCGTTTTGACCGCCACTTCCATAGTTGGGACCATTGTTTGGCCGTCCATTGCCGGCGTTTCGCTGATTGCCTCCCCTATCAAATTGGCGATAATCTCGTGATCCAAACCCTCCGGCGCCAAACCTATCGTACAAATAAGTCAATAAATGGAGTCAAAGAGAGGGCATGTGATGCTTACTTCTTGTAACTGTTGCCGTACTTGCGTTGACTGCTAGAGCGCAGTTCGCTCTGCACTTCTTTGCTGACGGCCTGCAGCCAATTGGGTACCTCCTGCTTAGTCTCGCTGACGAGTTCGCACAGGTCGACAGCCATGTTCTTGTTCTTCTCGTTGAAGAAAGACGTGGCTAACCCTAAATTGCCTACTCTTCCAGTCCTTCCAATGCGATGCACATACTCTTCAATATCGGTCGGAAGATCAAAGTTTATAACGTGTTTCACATTAGGGATGTCGAGACCGCGAGCCGCCACTGCTGTCGCCACCAGAATAGGGGTCCGACCCGTACGGAACGAGTTCAGCGCCTCCTCTCTCTCGCGTTGGGAGCGATCGCCGTGAATACTGGTCACCGGATAGCCGTCTCTCTCCAGGAATGTCTCCAAAGAATCGGCCCCTTTCTTGGTCTCCACAAACACCAGAGTCAGTGAATCGAGCGCTAAATTGACAATAATTTAATCAAAACAATGTCTCACGAAATATACGCTTAAAGTAAACGGGAAAATAAAATCAGAAGCAAATAGTCAACAGAAATACTCAGTTTTCAAGTGTCAATAAAACTCATCACAATATACACAGCAAACAGACTGATAGACTAAACGAGACATACGTGGGTTATGGTTCTTAAGACCCGCGGCATTCAATAAGTCCAATAAAAACGACTTTTTGTCGCCCTCTTCGACCCAAACAATCTTCTGAGTGATGTTTTCTGAAGTACTGCCCACTCGTCCCACGGCTAAGAAGATGTAATTGTCGAGGAAATTTCGGGCCAACTCTTGAACTTTCTTTGGAAAAGTGGCCGAAAACATGAGTGTCTGACGAACACCAGTCGGAGGCATATTGTCTTCTAATACTATTCTTCGAATCTGTGGCTCAAAACCCATGTCAAGCATGCGGTCGGCCTCGTCTAACACCAAATAGCGCACCATTTCTAGGCTTATCTTTCCTCTTTCAGTCATATCCACCAAACGCCCTGTCATTCAAACAAAAGTCCATTAGAACAACACATATGACGCCCATCTATACAAACAATACTAACCAGGAGTGGCCACCAATAGCTGACAGCCTCTGTCCAAGTCTTTCATCTGCTGGACGGGATCGGCGCCGCCATAAACAACGCACGGCCTGACACGTGAACGGTAGGCGAACTTACAGGCCTCGTCATAGATCTGAAGCGCCAGTTCCCGAGTGGGCGACAGAATCAATGCCAACGGATACTGTTTTACTTTGGCTCCGGGACGTACGGGTGGGAAACTCTTAGGTCTTCCGTTCTCAAAGATTTGGTTCAGAATCGGCAACAGAAAGGCCGCAGTCTTACCCGACCCGGTCTGCGCGCATGCCATCAAATCGCGTTTCGATAATATGATAGGAATGGCGTACTTCTGGACCGGTGTTGGTCTTGAATATTGTGCCAGTTTTACGTTCATCTCTATAATAGACGTCAGATTCATCTCTTTGTCATCAAATGACTCGATATGATTGGGACAGTTATGTCCGGTCGCCTCAACGGGAATGTCTTCGTATTTGTCGAAATTGATTCCCGTGTGTCCTGAAGAGAACAGATATCTCTCCTGAGCCTCATTGCGCTCCAAAGGAGTACTCCAGTCGTCGTAATGGGAGCGGTGGTCATCATATCGAGTACGAGTTGGTCGCGTGCCTTCATAGACATCGCGCTCAAGTTTGGGCGCATCTGGATCTCTCCAATTGCTGTCCGTGTTTGAGCGGCCAAAGGGATCGGACGCCACTCGAGGAGGCGTCTCATTGCTTATCTTTCTCTGTCTTTGCTGAAAATTATTCGGCCGCTCGTTATTGAAGCCTAAGAAGTGAATCCAATTGTAAGCAACACTTCAAACGAGTCTATAATAAGTGAGTCAACAGTACCTCCGAACTGATTGTTGGGTCTCTCGTAAGCATTGTTTTGGTTAACATAACCAGTATTTGGAGCCGAGTTTTGACGCGAACCGCGATTCCCGCTGTCTGTGGGAGACATTCAAGTGGTCGAGTGAGTGACAGGTGACACGTGGGAGACATATGAGGGACACTTACTTCTCCCGCGATAGTTGGGTCGCGAGTGGAACTCCTGTTGGGACTGACGGATGGGGTTGTTGTCAGTCCTGTACTCTTCGCGTGGTTGAGGACCGGGACCCGGGTTTGGGTTTTGGTAAGCGTTTGGACGACTGTTCCGCAGATGCGGAGGAATGTATTTGCCTGAAGAGCCCAATCCACTGTTTAGGTCCAGACCAGCAAACTGTAACGCAAGCAGTCGAGTGAGTGGGGGTGTGTTGGGAGGGGTGGTGTGTGGGCGGTGTGGGCATACCTGCTGTTCGAGACCTTGCTGTTGTCCATTGTGACTATAACTCATAGTATTGTTAACTCTTTTTATCACTCTATGTATACTTCACTCGAGTCTCGGATTCAAATGATACAAACGATTTAGTAATCAAACAAAAGTTAAATCAATGAAAAGTCAATCAATTAATTATAATATCAATNGACTGACGGATGGGGTTGTTGTCAGTCCTGTACTCTTCGCGTGGTTGAGGACCGGGACCCGGGTTTGGGTTTTGGTAAGCGTTTGGACGACTGTTCCGCAGATGCGGAGGAATGTATTTGCCTGAAGCGCCCACTCCACTGTTTAGGTCCAGACCAGCAAACTGTAACGCAAGCAGTCGAGTGAGTGGGGGTGTGTTGGGAGGGGTGGGTGTGGGCGGTGTGGGCATACCTGCTGTTCGAGACCTTGCTGTTGTCCATTGTGACTATAACTCATAGTATTGTTCACTCTTTTTATCACTCTATGTATACTTCACTCGAGTCTCGGATTCAAATGATACAAACGATTTAATAATCAAACGAAACTTAAATCAATGAAAAGTCAATCAATTAATTAATTAATTAATTATAATATCAATTCAAATGAATTAAATAATGAGAGAGAAGTCAAGTGTCGTTGCGTTCAGTGTTTCACTCTTTGGTGTTGTGCTCAACAAAATGGTTGACTAACCGACTGGCAATGCATTCATACCATTCACATACACCGTACCACGAATACACACATAGGGGTCGATGCGAGGCATTGTGTTCGTTGCATAGGGGCTAAGAAACCTGTATTAATGGTTACGATCAATAGAAATGAATGCATATTGAGTGCAATCATCGCACAAATGACGGCCAAACGAGTGATGAGCGAAACAAAGGGAGGAATGGGTGGATGTGTTGTGCGGCAGATGTCGCTCGCGAGCAGTGATAGTGAGGATTGGAGTCATCGTTCACTTCCTTTTCCTTTCGTCTCAACACTCGTGGACTCAGCGCTCAGTTAATTGTCGTTTCATTTGATTGTCGACACAATGGGACGAGTGATCAGATGCCAGCGTAAAGGTGCAGGGTCAGTGTTCAAGTGCCATAACAAGCACCGCAAGGGCGCCCCTAAGTTCAGGGCCATTGACTTCGCCGAAAGACATGGATATATCAAAGGAGTGATTCGGGTCTGTAGTGGTCTAACCATCCGTTGATTGCATTGTTTGAGTGATGATCTGTTTGTCTGATTATACATATGAGCGATATTTCAGAGGCTGTTTCTGACACCAATGCTTTCAAACCCTAATATAATGACTATACTAACCATGTTGTCCTAACAGGAGATCATTCACGACCCGGGAAGGGGTGCCCCCCTCGCACAGGTGGTCTTCCGCGACCCCTATAAGTATAAGTTACGAAAGGAGCTGTTCCTGGCTGCGGAGGGCATGTACACTGGTCAGTTTGTGTACTGCGGCCGTAAAGCGACCCTTCAGATCGGCAATGTCTTGCCGGTCGGCACAATGCCTGAAGGAACCGTTGTCTGCAATCTGGAGGAGAAGGCCGGAGACCGCGGACGGATTGCTCGCACGTCCGGCAATTATGCGACCGTCATATCGCACAACACCGACACCCGAGTAAGTGATGATATATTGGTGTTTATGACCACAAGTGATATAATGTTTGCATTTGAATGTAGAAAACACGCGTCAAACTGCCGTCGGGCGCCAAGAAAGTGGTTCCGTCGACCAACAGAGGAATGGTTGGCATCATTGCTGGCGGCGGACGTATAGACAAACCCATTCTGAAGGCGGGTCGCGCTTATCATAAGTATAAGGCGAAGAGGAACTGCTGGCCTAAAGTGAGAGGAGTGGCGATGAATCCGGTGGAACACCCTCACGGAGGAGGTAATCACCAACACATCGGACACGCGTCTACTGTAAGACGAGATGCCAGCGCCGGAAGGAAAGTGGGTCTCATTGCCGCCCGCCGTACGGGACGTATCAGAGGAGGAAAGAAAGAAGTGAAGGACGACACCAAGTGATGATACAATTATTTGTTTTGATAAATACTGTACTAATAGACAAATAAACTTGAAATCAATATAAGAATTTGATTTATCACTGGAATGAAGCACTGGTACACATGATATGTGATCCACAGTTGGATCCATTGATGAGTTGAAATGACAAATGAATGCAAAGTAAGAGTGGAGTTGAATGGAGGGATCAGTTGGTTGATTGGGATAAACTAGAATTAGCTGTCGATGTATTCTGTGAACTCTGTGATTGAGTGGAGGGCTGGCCGTCGCTCTGAGACCCTCCCTGTGAAGGAGGCCTAGGATTGGGAGAAATGTTTAAATAAAGTGTATAATAGGACCTCAATGTTAGAATCAATTGTTATTTAAAATACAGTTTTGTTTAAATGGCACATAAGTCTTGATATATTGTTTCATTACAAATGTTAACACTTTGTTGCAAATGTGCCACAATTTAAGCTCATTTTGAACCCATTATCAACTAATAGTAGGAATAGAAATCGATAGCAATTACCTCGAGGTTTGGCACTTGGGTTTAGGCATTTTAGCCAATCTGTAAAGTGAGACAATAGTTATCGACCATATGATGCAACACTTAGAGCTATACATACAGCGCCGGAATCTCTTTTTTCTCGTCGAAATTTTTCCACAATTCATATAAATTAAGAATATGTCGCGTAATCTCAAGGATCTATTCATTGGTCATGAATATCATTAAAACAGAGTTTCAATCAATTCAATGAATACCTTATCTAAGTCTGTGTTGAGTTCAGCAAACCATTGCTTATAATCTCTTTGAGTGATAACACACGCCATATGAAGACATGCTTTAAATAAGAAAAATGTTTTAAATTAGGACTCAAACGAGAGATGACATGACATCGGCTATTGATGTCTTACCCAAAGCTATCTGATGGGGTGCGTACAGGAGGCATATGTCTGCAATGAAATCAATATATTATTCCTTATTTGTCACAATTAGCTGTTTATGCCATAGTCTACCTGTCCTGTAACTGTCATTGATTACATTCCTAGACAAACAAACAAAATATGAGTGTTGACTGATTGTCATAGAGCATGAGATACACTACCAGGCCGTCGGAAGAATAGTCTCCTTATTATTCCATTCGTGAACGTATTGCAGAAGTGGTCGATAGGGATGGTATAGAACTAAACAGCAATCCTATAAAAAGGATGACAGCAATGAGACGTCTGCTATAATCACTAGAATCACCGTAAAGACCATCATTTCCAAGAGATAGAACTCGCATTCGAGGACGTGATTGATTCGGTACGGAAACTCTTGTGGGAAGGCATACGAGAACTTGTTCTTAACTGAAACCAAGACAATCGATGAATCAATGGTCACATTCAATGGGCGCCCCTTCAGGGACTCACCGACGGTCTGACACGTGGAGATGAGACGGTTGTTGGAAATGACGCCAAACTCCTCGACTTTAGAGGCCAGGAAGACACAGGTGGGCGCCATCAGCAACGGGTCGATGCATTTGAGCGAATTTCGTACATAAAAGCGCTTGAAGTAGACGATAGCTGTGGCCACCACCTGCTGCTTCACCTTCAACTGCTCGCCCAACGCCTGGATCACTGATACAGACATCACAACCATTAGAAGAAGTCA